TGCACCAGTTTTTGATATGATCTCTAAATGATGCTATTAACTGAATTCAGTCAATGCAGCATTACAATTTGCGAAACGCTTCTGAGTCAGGGACAAGAGGTGATTTTAAGAATCAAGGTAATTTTTCACTGAGCCCCTTTCTTTCAATGGGGATCCCAAAAGGAACAAAAAAGCACTAAAACCTCTGCTGCATACGGTCCGAGCTGTATATTTCACAACTGGGGCATTCATTTTTAGGTACTGATTTTGGCTTTGTTCTTGTCTTTTTCTCCCACCACCTCTGGCCTGGAGTGTTAATCCTGATCTCTCAATTTGCAGAACATCTCATGCATTTGAGCTCCTGTGTTTCAGGTCCGGTTTGGGACTTGCCAATAGGTGGCGATCCTCATCTAGCCCAAAGCTCGAAGGAAGTCACACACAGCAATGCGGAGAGTGGTGCTATAAGGGCCTATACATCTACTCGGTCTCACTGCCTTAACGTCTCATGTGCTAAGCCGGAGAGAGAAGCTGCCGTTCCCCCGGGATGCTGCTTAATCTCGCCTGCGTTTTACCTCCAGTCTCCACTGCGTGTGTTCCCTGGTACTCCCGGCTCACGCAATCTCTTCGTCTCCTTCTCCTATAAGCCCGACCTTTCCTTTTGGACATCATTCATATGCATAACCACAATATGCAACAATATCAATCTTCTCTGGGTGTTTTTACGAAAAAAAACAGCGATTTTTGTTTTGGAAAAAAAACTGAAGTTAACTTTTGCACACAAGTCTGCAACAGTGATGTGTAATAGAGTACGCCCCTCTGTGGCTCTATTAACCTAGTCAGCTTTCACAACGCACTGATCAAAGTAAATACACAACCAGAAAGATTTTTGCAATTAGATTCCTCCCCCCACCCCCCGAGATTGATACCAGTCCAGTTTGGCCCTCCCGAGTCCCTGTTTCTGTCCCACTGTCGATTTTGCCACCAGATGGCACCTTTCTTAAAGGGGTACTGCCCCCTAAAGGAGGATTCGTGTGCACTCAGTAAAAAGCACGACGGTGTGTTGGAGGCTTTTTGGGTCCTTACCCTACCCTGGTTGTCAACTTGCCTGCTTGGGAGATCATCTTGAAGGAAGTCAAGGCCATCTCCATCTCCATGTCCACCATGCAA